CGTCACGTCCTGCCACTCGGTGTCCTTTTTGTATGCTTTCGACGCACCAGACAGGCAGTACATGGGCAGCGCCGCTGCTGACATGCATGTGGTCGGCGCGCATGACAGCCTTTGGAGCGCATTTTGCCTGGCATCTTCTTGCCAGCACATTGCCAGCGCCATCAGAAATCTGGCTCGGGCGTCTCGAGCTGGCGTTGGGTTTCGTGATGCTCAGGAAAGAGAGCGTCACTTCCGTAGCGCAATCGGAAAAAAAATAGATGATCATGAGCGTCACTTTTCCCTCCTCTCGCATCACCTTTCCCTTCCTCCGGAACGCCTAGGAAGGCCCGTTACACCCCTCCGTCGTCAAACAAGGCTCTCACAGCCTGCCGAGCATAGTAGTTTCTAGCTCCTCCATGAATGTTACTGCAGCTCTGACTAGGTACGCGCCATGACGACGGACGCTGGGGCTAGTGCCCCAGCGAGTAAGCCATGCTCGAACACCCCCCTCCCTCCCGATCCGAGTGCGCTTAGCGCACTGGATTTCTTGCGCCGCGGCGTACGCATTCATCCAGCCTCCTCAATAGCTACAGCAACGGCATCAGCAAGTACACAACAGCATGCTGCCGAACCGCCGATCGCGCCATCTCATACAGCGGCTGCTCCTCCAGCGGCAGCCGCTGAACCTCGCGCGGCGCCCACACCCTCTCTTGTGGCGGACGGTACACCTGTCCCAGCTCCCCCAGTTGTCGTGCCCTCTCCAATGGCCCACCATGCTCGTACTGTGCCCGCTAGTCCTCTAGCTCCTGATCTACCTGCAACGCCTGCTGGTCAAGCAACTGGTGGTGACATTGAGCCTCGCTCGTCACCCTCTTCAAGATGGGAGCCGTTCGACAATCTCATGCCTGATGTAGAGGTTGAGACCTGGGTTGCCAGTCCCAGACCCGAATCTTCGCCCCTCTCGACGAGTACCTCTTCTGTCCCTTCGTCTTCCGTCGCCGCTACCGTCGTTGCGTCTCGCTCTCCCGCTGTGGTGGGTGGACCGTTCCTTCCTGTGCGTCGTCCGGGGAAAGCTAAATACAAGCAGCGCAAGCTGTCCTTCGCACGTCCTTGTCCAACGGTGCCTTCTGCAGCACCCGAGTCGCTTGCCGCAAACAGCTCCGACCCTGGCCCGTCGACGACAGCCGCGGGCGCCGCTGGCCCGTCGACTACAGCTACAGAGGACGATGACACTGACGAAGGCCCGTGGCCAGTGACCATCGAGGAGCTGCAGCTGAAGTGCAAGGATCAGTGGCAGCGGCACTTCCCGTGGCTGGTTATTTCCGAGACTAGTGAAGGCCGCCCCTGCATGAAGTGCACTGTATGCATGGCGTACGGCCAGCCGAATTACCAGTACGGCCGAGACGGAGAGGGCGGCATCGACATACAGAAGCAGACGATGCGCAAGCATGACCACAGCGGGAAGCATGAAGCGGCCATGGCGGTGAAGGCTCATAGGGACGGCAAAGTGAAGAACCAGAAGAGTATTGTCGACTTTGAGGATGGCGACGAGGGTGCTCGTCGTTTGAAAAGGCTCCTTGTGATTGTTCTCTTCATTTGCAAGTCTGACGCTCCTATTGTTCTGTTCGTGTCCCTTGTTCAATTCATGGCAAAACAGGGGACGCCCGATATGCCCCTGAAGGAGAACGGCACGTACTATTCCGAGTAAGCCGTTCATCTTTGCCCGTATGCTCGACGCTACCTCTCTTCATTTGCCTTGTTTGTTTGTTTTATCCCGCCTGCCACAACTGATTCCCTCGTTCTTCTCGCAGATACGGCTTTGCCCAGATGGTGGAAAGCATGGTGGGCTACCTGCGTGCACATCAACTGAGGCACATCCTGGGAAGCCCCTTCCTTGGCATCCAGTTGGACGAGAGCACCGACCGTCGAAGGGGGAAGCACATGATCGTCTATCTCACCTTCCTTCGTGACCGCGAAGTCGTCACTGAGTTCTACGCCCACCTGACTGTGGAGAAATGCGACGCCGCGTCACTACAGGCGGTCTTGCTCACTCACCTTGAAGCAACAGGGATAGACCTGCAAAGGATTTGTGGCATCAGCACGGATGGCGCTAGCGTGATGACCGGGGCACAAACAGGGCTTGTAGCGCGGCTTCGAGAGCGGATCCCGCATCTCGTCAGCTGCCACTGCATCGCCCACAGGTTGTTGGTGCACCATAGTAGTTTTTTCTTTGTTTTTTAATCGAACAGAATACTTACCTTTGGTTTTTGCTTGGCAGGGAGGCGCTCGCAGCAAAAGATGCTGCAACCTCTTTTCCCGACCTTGTCATTGTTGACAAGGTCGTGCGATCATTGGCCGAGGTCCTCGGCCGTTTGATTGTGGTTCACAATCGTTTCAAGCAGCTGCAAGAAGTGGTTACAGAGACTAATCTTGAGATGCAGGGTATCCACAACATCAGGTGGTTGTCTCAAGGTGAGGCAATCCAACGGCTTGTCGAGGTATTCCCCAGTGCAATCATTCTTCTTTCAGAGTACGGTCACCAGGCCTACCAAATGGTAATCAGCCTCAAATTCCACTTCCTCCTCTACTTCCTTGCCGACGTCCTGAAGGAGCTGAATATCCTCAACTTGAAGTTCCAGCGCCGACAGGTGAGGGGGAGAAATTTAAGGGATTAGCAACTGTATGTTTGCGTTCTCATTATTCCTGTTGTTTCCTCCCACCCGTCCCCACTCCCGCTCGCCCCTCTCCACCCTACCTCAGGTCGATATTACGCACGTACTTCAAACGGTGGATAATACTAAACTTACTCTGCGCGGGCGCTACGTCAACTACGGTCAACACTTCGGACATGGGAACACGGCTCTCGTGGAGTTCATCGCCAAGCACACCGACATCCGAAACCGGCAGGTCACTGTCCGGGGTGTAGACGCGGACGGGACGCCACTCATCCATACCTACGAGCTGCATGAGAATCCAATCCACGGCCAGCGGAGTGACGGAGACATGGGGTCGCTGTTGACCCTAGCAACGTCTTTCGTTATGAAGGTGCTGAACGACATCGACTCGCGCCTGGCCGATCTTAGCAACCTCAACTGCACCAAGCTCTTTCGCCAGGGAGCCTACCCCAAGACGATTCAGAAGAGGGCACGGCGCTTTCCGCTATGGCTAGGTGGGTTGCAGAATCTCTACAAGCGCACCCCGGACGCTCCTGACACACTGCCAGGTTAGTCATCCTTTGCACTGTTGCATCATTTGCATGCTTTGATCCCAAGATTGCACCTGGCACGCTTGCTGGTTTAGCATACCCCTGTTCTTTGACTGCTGAACGGTCTCGCCCTCCCTCTCATTCCATCTCCCTTCTCCATTGCACACTCCCGTCAGGGGTCAACTGGAGCAAGGCGGAGAAGGAGCTGACACAGTTCACGACCAGTTTGTCTGCACATTAGAAGGACTCTGGGTTTTTGGACGGTTTGAAGAACATGCTGGCCTCTCCCGACTGGGAGACGGCGTACCCCAACTTGGTGCTGGTGTGGATCGCGGTGGCAGTACTCCCTCTCAGCACGGTGGAGTGTGAGAGGGGCTTCAGTCGGCAGAACGTTATTAAGAGTAAGCTCAGAGGCAACTTGTGCGATGCCAAGTTGTCCGACCTTCTCACTATCTCCCTGCTTGACTATGACATGGATTGGGACTCCATGGTGGCGAGGTGGCGGGGGGTGAAAAAGCGAAGGCCGACAAAGGAGGTGGTGATGGTGCAAGCCGTGCGGACCGAAAAGCGCAAGAGATCGCCAGCGGCGAGGGCGGCAAAGAGGGCGGCAGCAGCAGCAGATGCATCAGCACGACAGGCAGCGGCAATCGCTGAAGCAGAGGAAGTGCTACAGGAAGAAGAGCCTGGATCTGCATACTGGAAGAGAAAGTCCAGAGGCAAGGCAGTAGCAGCAGCAGCAGCACCTGTAGGAGACTCTGACAGTGAGGAAGAAGACAATCCCTTTGCTAGTGACAGCGAAGAAGGCTGACTCTAAAAGGTGTTCATGAGGCTGATGATGATGGCAAATCCTGTAGGTTAAGTAGCTCAATAGGATAGGTACGAATGTTATTGTTGTAGTAGACGTATGCAGATGTATGTGTTGTTTAACTTGAACAAGAGATAGTATATACTGTGCAATTTGCTTAGCTAGACTGATCCCACCATTTCAGATGGAAATATAGACAGCGCAAAAACTTTCATCCGAAGGTGCAGACTGGCCTTATGTATTCGTCTGAAACGTCAGACTCCACCAATTCTTCTGTCTGATGTTCAGACAGCGCACAAAAATCCGGTCTGAATGTCAGACGTCTCCAAATCCTAGCAAGAGCCCAGCTCTATAGCATGTAGAGGATTAGGTTGTTGAGTTCAAGCAATGGCGCTGGCGGGAAACAGAATTATTTGAAGTCGCACATATCCGTCCCGTCACCGCCGGCGTCGCCTGTTGATTTTTCCATGGTGGACCATGGAACCCCAAAGCAGAGCTTCTTCGCACCTCCAACAATTTACCTACCAAACCAGTCACTCGCAGGAGAATATGACATCTGGGTTGAGTGACCGCAAATTTCGCTGGCAAACTCTGGCGACTGTCGGCGATGTGTCAAAATGAGCCGACAGTTGGAAGAGTTGACGTTTTGCCATCGCTGACAGGACGGTGATGACGGGAAACGGCCAGGCAGAGTCTTCCACGAACCACCCAACGACTCCAAACCAGACGTCCATCTATCCCGACCTGTCAACGTCTAGGCACTCCACAGACGGCGACGGCGACTCTGCCGGGCAAAATCCACGTCTTGCCTTCCCTCCTCGCACCACAAATCTGCTGGTTTGGAGTCTTTGGAATAACCCCTCACCTCCAATCCCACTTCACCTTACTTAATCCCACTCCAACCACTCAACTGCTGAAATTTCTCCTCCAACCCACCCCCCAAATGGATTTCTCAAACCTTCAGTATTCAACCCGCTGGGCTCACATGGTGCATCCATGGGGAAGCATGTCAGTCCGTCACCTTTTCCTCACTCCCATATCCCAATCATATCCACTCCAATCGACCAGTCATATCACACCCTTCCCCCTGACTGCTGAGCCGGTTTTACTCGGGGAACTGGGATGCTAGTCTGGTCCCTCTTCCCTGTCAGAAACCGTCCGAGGATTCCGCAAATCCCGGCGGCATGACCCCCAAATCCTGGTAGACACCCTTCGCGCGTCCCAGCCGCGACAGTCCGTCATTCTCGCACCTCCGTTCGTCGGTTGCTGACACCCCCCCTTCACCTTTCCCCGTTCTTGCATTAAGTTATTCGACTTTTAGATGGCTAGGATGAGTTTACCTACGTGGTACAACAAGGATCAGAATGGCGACTCGGAGCTCCGGTCTGCTTCTTCCCAGAAAGAGCGTAGCTCGTTCGCGAAGTTTTCGCCTGCTAGGATGATGGCAGATGTTAAATTCCCGGAGGTCAAAGTTCCTAGTGTTCGCATACCTGACGTTAGACTCCTTCAAGTTAAGCGTTCGGAAGCTAAGATGCCTGAACAGAAGAATTCTGATGTTGCCGATAGTTCTCAGATGTCAACCCTAGACTTCGTTTCCAAAGCCACGTCAGGTGAGAAGGCCTTTCGTTGGTTAGCTCAGCTTCGCCGCTCGCTAATTTCTTACTTTAAGAACATTCACTGACAGAAGTGAGTCTCTGGAATGCAGCATTTCAAGTAGCCACGACGAAGGCTAAGCGAGCATTCACCGATTTAAGACGCGATGCACCTTCTCCTTCTGAGGCTCCGGTTCCCTCGAGCCTTCCAACCTCCCCACCGACACCCCCCCAGCCTTCTCATGGTGCTTACCTCGAACCCTACCCGGAAGCCCGACCTGCTAACTTAGGAATTCTTAACATAGGTCTTATCTGACTCTTAGATGCTTCAACGAAGCCTTCGCTAAGAGCTCGGTGTTGTGGAATGTGCAGGCTGGGGCTATCCCTGGTTGCTCAAGGCGAGCCCTAAGACCAGCCATTCGGGAGAACTCAGCAGAAGAGTCTCCGAGCTGTCAAAGGTATTGGACTGCGCAGAATATTCTTTCTCATGCTTTTGCTTTTGAGTCGACTCGAAAGCAAAGGTAGAGGACTGCGTAGAATACTATTTCGTATGATTTAACCTTTTTATCTTATCTGGACGGCCGTCCTGACTGTAAGATTTTCTACATTATTTCATCAGGAACCCCAAAAGTTTCTCATGGTGGGGGTATCAGACGACCGCGCCGAGCACTACGTTAATCTGGACAGCGCGTTGCTCTCCGCTCCCGCGATTCTCGAGGTAACACAGAAACCCCATTATCTTTCGACACCCCTTTTTTTCTCTTACCCCATTGTCTGTAAGCTCGTGGTTCGAAACCGCTCAGCGATGCCGTACCGTATGCGTCTCTCTCTTCAGGCGGATGATCAGCTGAGCAGGATCTTTACGGAATTCGTGCCTCGTCTGGTTTCCGAGCGAGAATTCTGGAAGCGGTACTTCTACGTGGTTGCTAAGGTGGAGCTCGAGTTGGAGCATGAGGAAGACTGGGGTGCTGTAGACCCTTCTCCCCTCGGCTCGCCTGCCAGTGTGGGATCGCACGGACGCCTCTTCTCCCTTCCCATGTGGCATCCCAAGGAACGGGTGAGCCCTTGGAAATTGTCGTAGGGGAAACCAGCGACAGTGTTATGTGCACTAAGACTCCTCCCGTATATCTTTTAAAGGCTTGCAGATAGTTTTTCGTTGTACGTGTACCGTACTGTACTGAACTGTACTGTACCGTATTCGCAGGACCTGAACGGCAGTACCTGCAGCACGACGACGAGCGTGTGCAGCTCAGGAAACGTGGAGCCGCCGAACATCCCATCATCTGTGCTCCTGCGGAATCTCGCCCAGGCTGTCAGGTACGCTGATATTCTCACGAGACCACACCATCTACCAGACTACCGCCAACAATTTGCCTCGGATCCCGCAAATTCCTGCTCATCCTCATCACTATCCGAATCTGCACCCGTTTTAATAGTCCACCTGTAACAAGTTCTGGGTCCGCCTGTAACGCATCTCGTCTGATCCGATCCCCTCACGCCCATAACGTTACCGTTACCGTTAACCTTCACGATTTTCTGTGCGCGCAGCAACGCTGCTCCGTTTGCGACGCTCAAGGACCTGGTGGTGCACAACGGCAAGTGGCCGGGCACGGCACTTGCGCAGGCTGTTGGCGCTGGGATTGGCCGCGCGTTCTCCCTCTCCTCCATATCGAATCTACACGACGCTGACTCCACGGACGACATGATTCACAGGCTCCTGAGCGCAGGTCAGTACGAATCCGCTTTCGAGTCAACTCAGAAGCCTCTCCCTCTCCGCCATATCAAATTTACACAACGCTGACTCCACGGATGACATGATCCACAGGCTTCTAAGCTCAGGTTAGTACGAAACGAAGCCTTAAGAAGCCTTCCGAGTCCAGGTTTATGTGACAATGCATGCACTTTTGGGAAGCCTTTCTTTGCTGGCTGCCTTACAAGTTACCGTTGAGCCCCGGAACAGCCCGGGAATGTGCCTCTGCCCCTTGAAACCAGCCCGGATTAAATCCCCATAGTATCAGTCAACGCCCAGTGTGGTTTTTTTTTTTTTTTTTTTTTTTTTTTTTTTTTTTTTTTTTTCTAACATGGCCTCCGTACCCCATTTGACTTTTTGTGCGCCTGCTTAACAACAGGAGACGAAGCGGCCTTTGATTGTGGATGTGACACGTTCAGCGGCATCAGCAATGGCAACAAGCACTCACAGGAAAATCCGAGCGATGCCGCCTCCGTGGCAGCTACTGCGCTGGTGCATTCGGTGCACGGGGCGTACGCTGACAGCTTCGTGGCGCAGGTTGCGGTGCTCATGGCGGAGCTGCCGTCTGAGAAAGACATGGCGCAGCTGTGGCTGGCGCTAGTGGAGCAGGTGAGCTGCTGGTGGTGGTGTTAGAGCAGGTGAGCTACTGAGTTGACTTAATAAGGGGGATGTATGGCGTACGTGAGAAGTGCTCATGGCCGAGCTGCCCTCGTAGATGGATATGGCGCAGCTGTGGCTGGCGCTGGTGGAGGAGGTGAGCTTTAGAGTCGACTCTCAGGGGAGGGCTAAAGGCATATCTGAGAGAGGTACCTGGAGAAGTCGACTCATGGCGCAGCTGCCTTTTGAGAAGGACAGGGCGCAGCTGCCCTTTGAGAAGGACAAGGCGCAGCTGCCCTTTGATAAGGACAGGGCGCAGCTGTGGCTGCTGCTTATAGCGCGGTGGAAGGGGGGTTCGCCTGTGCCACACGTCACGGCAGGCTGGGACACGTCCGACCTGCAAACGCTATCCTCTGCTAAAATGTCTGGTTTTGTCTCTTTCACTGATTCTTCTTCTTGCCTGCAGCTCAGGGCGCGGTGGAAGCAGGGGGTGCCAGTGCCACACGTGGCGGCAGGAAAGGACGGGCCGGACCTGCGGCTGTGCGAGATCATGCAGCACCTGCAGGTGCTCACCTACGTCTCGTCTGTGCTTGTGTTTCTCCCTGCTTCTTCTTCCCTTGCAGCTCAGGAGCCGGTGGAAGCAGGGGGTGCCAGTCCCCCACGTGGCGGCAGGAAAGGACGGGCCGGACCTGCGGCTGTGCGAGATCATGCAGCACCTGCAGGTGCTCAACTGCTGCATCGCCAGGCAGCGCCGGAGAAAAGCCATCGGGTTTGCGTGTAAACTCCCAGGAGGAGCAGCAGCAGCTGGAGTGGGTAGGGCAGGTAGCAGGAAGGTCAGGGAATGTTTGTCAGAAGGCGCTGCTGCTGCTGCTGCTGATGATGATGATGGGAGCGGTGTGGGTGCAGCAGCAGCAACAGCAGCAGCGAGTAGCGAAGCTTCAGGCAGCTGTAACGTTCTAGGGAGAAGCGTGAGTCTAGGAGTAGGCAGGTGCCGAGACTCGGGCTTAGACGAGGCAGACGCCAGAAGCCGGAAGCAGGGCGGAGATGATAGTGCCTGCCTGGTACCGCCTGACGCGAGGGGGGATGGTGGCACAGACTGTTGTGATATACGCAGGGACCAACCGGGGAGTCAAACAGCAGGCGACAGGGTTGTGGAGGTGTCTGGGGCTATTAGAAGCGCAAGTGGGAAGGTGCGAGCTCAGGATGGGACGGATGCAGAGAATGATGACTTGGCAGCGGGGCCGTGCTGGAACAGGGACTGTCCAGGTCAGCATCTCTTCCTCTGCGACACGTGCTCCCTGCCTTGCACGAATCATCACTCGTCAGACGAGTGCACGGACCAGGAACGCAGAGGAGATAACTGCGCCCATGCAGTCCACGCCTCTGACACCCCTTCGGCAGCAGGGACAAAAGGGACAGCAGCAGGGGCAGCAGCAGGAGCAGCAGCGGAGGCGGCAGCAGAGGCAGCAGCAGAGTATCACCAGGACGCGTGCTATGCAAGGGTGCAGTCAGGCAGGCGCGTGCTGAGGAGAGGGGTGAAGGAGCAGTCGAGGGGTCTGAGGCTCCTGGAGACAGGCGAGCCCATGTGCATCCCGATGACCCAGGACGGGCCGCTCATGACTGAGTCGAGTGTGCGGGAGAGTGAAGAGCTCATCATGAGGACCAAGAGGTGAGTCGAGAAGCTAGTAACGCGTATGAAGTGGTAGGTGAGAAAGGGGGTGAAGGAGCAGTCGAGGGGTCTGAGGCGACAGGCGAGCCCATGGCCGCTGATGATTGAGTCGAGTGTGCGGGAGAGCGAGGAGCTCATCATGCGCACTAAAAGGTGAGTTTGGGGAGCTAACAATGCGTACGAAGTGACAGGCGAGCCCATATGCATCCCCGTGACCCAGACGGGCCACTGATGACCGAGTCGAGTGAGCAAGGAACCCTCCATGCCCAGCCCATGAAGAGGAGAGGAACCTTGTAGAGGAGCCGTCTGGCAAGAGGTCACCTCTGCATACTGCCGGTTCGTTTCTGAATTCACCCCGGCCTATTTTTGCCTCAACCTGCTACCCACTTGTTCTCTGTGTTTCTCTGGTGTTGTCTTGCCTTGTGCCTGGTGCAGCTTTGGGACTGGTCACAAGCAGCTCTTTTCTGACATGCAATCATTCAAGGTGAGCCGCCGCACAGCGGAGCTGTTCAAGTGATAGTAGTTTAGTTTTGATACGTCTATCAGCATTGACCATTGCATGCGCATCGGGCCCAGAAGCATCTCTCATCATGTGTCCTCTCCATGCCCACCTCGTTCACCCCCAGGCCGCCAACCCTGGGTGTGTCCTGGAGGACTTTGTCCGCTGGTACTCGCCCCCTGACTGGTCGCCACTCCCACAGTCGCCCTCTGTCCACTCCGCCTCCGTCAACTCTCCTGCCATACACTCTTCCTCTCGCCACTCGCCCTCTCTCCACTCTCCCACTGTCTTCAATGCTAGAAGCGCTTCAGAAGCAGAGACCCCCTGCGCCTCCTCCTGTGCCTCCTCCGGTGCCTCCTCCTGTGCCCCAACCTGTGCCTCGTCGCAAGGCCGAGAGAGGGTGGGCCAGATTGCAGGGTGTGCCGCAGGGGGAAGTAACGACTGTACACCCAAAAAGACAGGGTACCTCAGCGTGCGGATGAAGGCTTCTGATAACTTGTGGCAGCAGCTGTGGAATAAAGCTCGCCCACTGCCCGTCGCTCTTCAGCCCCCCTTGGTGGACTACGATTATGCCGGGTAAGTGTCCCAATCCCCCTGCTACCTCACTTTTCAGGCGTTTTCAAATCGCCCTTCAGTCCCCCTTTGTGGATTACGATTATGCTGGGTTAGCGACCCTGCTCCTCTCTCCCATCCAGCACTGCATCCCCTGATTTACTTTCTTTGTTTTTAGCCCTCATTCAACTGTGCCTGCTGCCTTTGGAGTTGCCTCAAAAGTCACCTCGTTTTCTTTCTTCCCGCATATCACCTCTCTGTTTTCAGCCCTCATTCAACTGTGCCTGCTGCCTGCTTCTTGCGCTGCCTGTGCCCGTTTGTGCTGCTGTGCTCTGTTGTTGCTGTTGTCTCTATTGCTTCTTCTGTTTCCCTCCTCCAGGGAGTGAAGCCTCGCCTGGCTGGAGAGCATGCCGCCGTTGCATCTGTTGGGCAAGCGCTTCAACGTGCTCGTTGGCGTTCGCTTCTCATTCTTCTGCTGTGTTCCCTCTTCTCCTTCCCTCCCCCCCACCCCTCCCCCACCCCCATCCAGGGAAAGGAGCCTCAACTGGCTGGAGAACATGCCCCCGTCGCATCTGTTTGGCGAGCTCTTCAACGTGCTGGTTGGCGTTGGCTTCTCCGCAGCGGCTTCAGCATACCACGCTCCCAGATCTACCTCTCTCACTGCAACTGCAAGCCAGGACGATGGCTGGGTGCACGCAGACAATATCGAGGGAGAGGCAGGGGAGGAGGCGGAGGAGGAGGAGGAGGCATGTGGGCAGGCAGCAGCGGATTGGCACATCAGTGCACGGGTGGCGGAGTGTTGCCGCTATGTGGCTGGGGCGTGCACGAGAGGAATGAGCGACGAGAAGATGTCCGATATTTGCCTGGTGAGAAGTCATATTTCACACAAGTGCTCTATCATTCCATAGAGAGAATAAACCTTTGCACCCTCTTCCCCTCCCCCCCCCCCTTCCCCTTTCTCTTCTTCTCCCTCTCCGCGTCTCAGGTATATGTAATGATGGAGGACATTGTAGTGGGCCCACATGCCACAACCCACCTCACCACCACCTCCAAGCAAAACTCAGGATGCTCAAACCGCCCCACCCACGCCCCCTTGCACCCCCTTGCACCCCCTTGCACCCCCTTGCTCACCTTGCATCCCTCCCCCCCCCCTCTTGCAGGTATACGAAATGGTGGAGGACATTGTTGTGGGGCCACACGCCAAGACCCAACTCCCCACCTCCACCGCCACCGCCTCCCAGGACGCCCAACCCGCCCCACTCAAGCCGTCCCTCCTGCAACAGTGGCAGCAGTGGCACTCCAAACCCTCCTCCAAAAACACCGAACATACCCATACACAAGACCATACCCACACACAAGACCAAGACCACCACCCTTCTAACGAATCTCACCTAGACGACCCCCAAGCCTGTTCTGACTCGGAGCCGTATGACACGCGTAGCCTGTCTGATGTTTCATGCGGGACCGGTGGCTTTTCCCCCGAGCCTAGCACCTCCCCTCGCATCCCTCACTCCTCCACCACTCCCGCTCGCAGATTCTCCCTCCTGGGAGCGGGGTCCGGGTTCCCTAGCTTCCACTCTGCAAGCTTTCCCACAAGCCCCATGTTTGGCTCCCTAGACCTCTCCTCCCTCAATCACCACCACCACCAGCAGCAACCGCAGCAGCCACCCCAGCAGCAGCAACAGCAGCTTGAAGAAGATGGTTCTGCTTGTCAGAAGGGTGCTGGAGACCCTGCGACTGCTCGTCTTTCCGCTTCGTCCAGTTTTGTCAACCGTGTGGCTGTGTGGGCGGGCCTGGGGGCTGCAGGGTGTGGGAAGGGTGTGGTGGGAGAGCAAGCGAGCACGAATGACCAGCAGCAGCAGCAGCAGCAGCAGCAGCAGCAGCAGCAGCAGCAACAGGAGCAGCTAGAAGCAGAGAGACTCGTTATCACAGTTTCTGTGAATGGCGGTCTAGAAGCTGCTGCTGCCGCTGCCACAGCTGCCACAGCTGCAGCTGGTGCTGCTTGCCCTGCTGCAGATGGCGCAACCTTTGGTGCTGCTGGTGCTGCTGATGCTGCTGCTGATGCTGCTGCTGATGGTGCAGAGAACGGTGCTGCTGCTGATGTGACTTGTTCGCACGTTCTAGAGGAACCTGAAGTGGAGGATAGCGATAGGGGCAAGTGCAGCAGACCAATGACTGCGCCCGCTGCAGTGAGCTTTGGAGGGTTTGGGAAGGCTGATGGCACAAGCAGCAGCAGCGAGCAGCAGCAGGCGCAGGGGGAGAGGAAAAAAGGTGGGATTCTCGGGCTGCGATATGGCTGGGTTGTGGTCTAATCTGGGGTGAATCTGGAGGGTCTAGGAAGGTGGACGTGACAAGCATCAGCGAGCAGCAGCAGCAGCAGCAACAGCAGCAACAGCAAGCAGCAGCAGCAGCAGCAGCAGCAGCAGGCGCAGGGAGAGAGGAAGAAAGCTGGGATTCTCGGCCTGAGATATGGCTGGGTTGTGGTCTAATATGACGTGAACCTGGAGGGTCCGGGAAGGCAGATGCGACAATCATCAGCAAGTAGCATCAGGGGAAGCAGCAGCAGCAGCGAGCAGCAGGTGCGGGGGGGGAGGAACAGGTGGGATTCTCGGCTGTGATATGCCTGGGTCGTGGTCTTATCTGGGGTCAAGCTGGAGGGTCTGGGAAGGGGGATGTGGCTAGAAACAGGGGCAGGAGATGCAGGTGGAAGCAAGGTTGGATACTTCTGCCTGCAATATTGATGGGTTGAGTGGTGTGCTGGTCAAGCTGCCACAATTTTGAAGTTCTGGTTGTGCGAGCATTAAGTATGGCTTGGCAGCACATCTTGTAACAGTTACACATACGTTACCGGTAACAGCAATCATGTTACCTTACGAACAACTGTCATCTAGGATGGTGTCGTGACATTACATTGTGTCATTGTCAATGATGAATAGCTTTATTCGTGATTTGCTGTAGAAGCATTCAGGTATAGTCCACACTTATGATACTCAGCAAAGCGTTCTTAGAACTGAATGAATGAATAGAGTAGGGAGAGAGTACATGCGAATTATAACATTATAATGTTATACACTCTATAAAGTGTTGTACCCTCTAAGAGGTGACCCTATACACTCTATGTAAACATTAGAGATACACCTGCTTGACACACCCCCTAAACTGCATAGGGGCAGGTCCTGAACAAGCAGCTCAGGGCGGCACTACTAGTCCAACCACTGAGGCAAGGGTCTGAAGACCAGTCAAAAGGAGTACAGACAAGGCAAGAACAAGACCAGGGCAGCACTACTAGTCCAGCCACTAGGAGAGGACACAAGTCCAGTCTGAGTAAGTATAGATATATAGGACAGTACAAAGTCAAGGCCCTAGCAAGTGAGAGGCTACAGGAACTAGACGGAGCTGTACACAGTGCCGCTGATGATCTTGGCGCAAGCGCCTTCGTAAAGATATCAGCTGTGTTGGCACCAGAGGCCAAGTGTACTACGCGAGCCTGGCGGCGCTGCTGTAGCTCGCGCAGGAGGAAGTATCGCAGCTGGATATGCTTCGCTCTGCCCTCGAGTCGAGGCTCCTGACACAGGAGGATTATGGCCCTGTTGTCAGCATACATAACCGGGGCAGAGCTAGGCCGCTCACCTAAGACAGTGAGCAAGAAGGACAGCCAGCGGAGCTCCTGAGCCGCCATGGCACCGGTGTAGATCTCGGCCTCACAGCTGGACGGGGCAACAGACGAGGAGCGGGTAGCTCTCCACGAGACGGAACCTGAACCAAGGCTAAAGCATTAGTCCTGCGAGGACCAAAGGTTCTCGGCGTCGTCTGCCCAAGAAGCGTTTGTGTGTCCAGTAAGGACCACTGACCTGCGTCCTCCTAGCACTAACCCCATGCCCGATGTACTTGCAAGATAATGCAAAACCCTCTTAGCGGCAGACCACTGCTGCGGTCGGTGTCTGCCTGTGGCAACAAAGCGAGCCAGGATGCTGAGAGGGTATGTGAGATCTGGGCGAGTGCAAGTCATCAGGTACATGAGGCAACCCACCAGCTCAGCGTAAGGACCACTGGGCTCTACTGACTCCTCAGGAACTGGAGCGGAGAGTCAGTGGTCTACAGGCAGAGGGGTGGGCTGTGCAGAGGAGAACTGAAGGTCGAACCTCTGAAAGACCTGTCGCACCAAGTGTGACTGAGTCAAGGTGATGGTGCGCGCTGCTCTGTCCCTGGAGATCTGCAAGCCAAGGTAACGGCGCAGTTCTCCAAGGTCAGTGCAAATGTGTCTCTTCAGCAGCTCTGCCTTCACGGAGCCCAGTCCGTCCCTGTGTGATGTGGCAAAGACCAGGTCGTCCACGTAAACAAGGATGTAGAACGGAGTCTGGCCGACACGAACAAAGAGTGAGGGGTCTGCGGAGGACGGAAAGAACTGTAGGTCAGCAAGGGTAGCACGCAGCGTGTCGTGCCACTCACGGGGAGCCTGCTGCAGGCCGTAGACGGGACGCCGCAGGAGCCACTAGGTCCCAGGAGGGAAGGTGCCAGTAAAGCCCTGAGGGCAATGCAGGTAGACTTGCTCGTGTAGGCTGCCCTGAACGAAGGCAGTGGAGAAGTCGAGGGAGTGAAGCTCGTAGTCACGCTGAGCTGCTACGTGTAGCAGAACCCGAAGAGTAGTCATCTTCGGGGTCGGGGCGAAGGTCTGGAAGAAGTCCACCCCCTCACGTTGACTGAAACCTCTAGCCACGTAGCGCGCCTTGAACACAGGCGGCTCTCCAGGAGGGCGCTTCACCTTGAAGAGCCAGCGGCCATCAACTACGTTCACCCCAGGCGGGGGAACTGCGTCGACGAAGGTGCCATTGGATCTCCAAGATGCCATCTCCTGCTCCATGGCAGCTATCCACTGGGAGGCCCAGGGTCCCGAGGTCGCCTCAGCGTAAGTGCGAGGGGTCGGGATGTCGAAAGCGTCTGGGTCACCCTCAGGGACGAGCAGCATGGAGCAGAGATGGGGAGCAGCCTCAGACAGGAAAGCAAGCTCGAACTAGTGGTCCTCCAGGACGTCACTGCCGAGGGCAGCCGCACCCCCAACAGACGGAGGACAGGCAGGGTCAGAGACTAGAGCTGTGGCGTAGTCAAGGCGGCGGGTAGAGGCGTAGTCAGCGACGGCAGTGACAAGGGCGTCAAGACTCAAAGCCGGAACAGACGGGTCAGTAACGAGGGAGGCAAGAACCTGAGAAACAAGAGGACGGGCGGCACGGAGGTAGTCAGACAGAGGGGGGGGAGCAACGACAAGGGAGGACAGAGGGGGCAACGGGAGAAGGGGAGGACGAGGCGCGTGTGAACGAAGCAACATAGGGTGAGAGCGCGAGACAGGGGAGACAGGTCGAGCACGGGAGGGACGGCAAGACCAGACGTGAGACGGAGGAGTCTGGTCAGGAGACAGAGAAGGGGACATAAGGGGGGAGCGAGGGGGAAGACGAGCCGGGGACGATTCCGGCGGAGGGAACACAGGGCCGTAGACGGGAAGAGGAGGAGACGGCAGGAGAGGAACAGACGCAGGGTCAGGGGACGGAAGGCCAAGCAGGCAAAGGGTTGACACCGGCGGGGACTGCTGCTGCGGCGGCACAACACTGACACCCGGACCGCAAGCTGCTCCTCGGCTACCGCCGGAAAACTTCACGCCTGCACCCCCAGAAGGAACACTCCCAGGGCCCGAAACCCCTCGAGCACCGGGACCACCCCCAGGGCCACAGGGACTAGTACCCACTCCAACACCAGCACCCCCAGACTCAAGGAACGGCTGCTGCGACGGCGGCGGAGGAGACGACGGCTGCAGAGGCAGAGGCGACGGCGGCTGCAGAGGCGGCGGAGGAGGAGACACCTGGGGAGGGGCAGATGGCGAGGACTGCGCCGCAGGACTACCAGAGTCAGAGGACTCCTTGACCGGGACAACCGACGGGAGAGGGGTGGCGTGGGACACACCGGAGGGGGCAGGACCGGGAGGGGGAGGGGGGGGCAGGGACCACCGGGGAAGGAGTGACCAGGAACAGGGGGGGAGTAACAGGGGGACCGCAGTGGGGGAAGCGACGGTAGTAGGAGACGGACTCGTCAAAGGTGACGTCTCGAGAGTGAAAGAACTGGTGAGACAGCGGGTGGTAGAAGTGCCAGTCGGACGCGTCAAGGGGGAAACCTAGGAAGTCATAGGGAAGGGTGCGGGCAGTGAGCTTGTCCTTGCCAGAGGCACGAACGTGAGCAAGGCAGCTCCAGACGTGGAACGCAGACGCGTCACCAGGAGACCTGGTCCAACGAAGGGTCGGCGAAACCTGCGGCTGCTGAGGGTGCGGCCACAGGTTAAGCTGGTGAGCAGCGTAGCGTACGGCGAACGGCCACAGAAAATGCGGTGCTCCGGCATGGATCATGGCTGTGCGAGCCACCTCGATGACCAAACCGATGCGTCGCTCAGCGACCCCATTCTGCTGTGGGGAGTCCGGCAGGGTGAACGTCTAGGTGATGCCCTCCGCACGACAGAAGCGACCAAGGACACCTGAGGCAAACTCGTCACCACTCTCTGAGTGAAGACGCAAGACAGGGAGACCTCGGTGGACCCGTGCAGAGACAAGCCAGGGGATGAGAGTGTCAGGCACGTCGGCCTTGCGCTCCAAGGGAAAGACTGTGGTGTAGCGAGTGAAGTCGTCGACAAGCACGAGGAAGTAGCGCTCTCGACGCGGCCCATGGACGGGGGCGGGGCCCCAGACGTCCATGTGCAGGGTCTGCAGCGGCGCGGCGGTAGGGGGAAACGAGGAGGAGTGAGGGGCACGGCGAAGCCGACCCTTGACACAAGGCGTGCAAGGTGGGGCGGGGGAGGAGGGAAAAGCAGGGAACGAACTAGGGAGACCAAGGATGAGACCGTGCTGTGACATGTGACGCAGACGCGGGAGTGCATGGTGACCTAGGCGGTGGTGCCAAAGAAGAGTCGGGTGAGTGAGGGACCGACAGGAGCACGCAGCAGCAACTGGGGTAGACGCAGCGACCTGAAGGGGCGCGCCAGCCGGGGGGGTCACGATGTCCAGGGTGAACAGGCCGGACACTGGGTCCCGGGGGAACGTGGACAGGGGGGCACCAGTGGCGGCCTCGGTACAGACAGCATACCGCTCGTGACCAGGGAACGTAGTGGTGACGCCAAGGTCCTGGAGGCAGCCGACACCAACTAGGTTCCTGGAGAATGAGGGGATATGCAGACCTATAAGAGAGCCCGAAGGAACCGCCGGACAAGGAAGGGTGGTGGAACTGCGGGCGACTACTGGACTGCCGGAGGGGTCAGCAAATGAAACTGCAGCAGGAGCAGGAAGCGGCGTCAGCGTAGTGGAGTCGCGGAAGAAACACCGGGAAGCGCCAGAGTCCAAGGTGAAGGAAAGCGAAGCACTGGTGTCTGGCGATGGGGCGACGGCGGAAGCAGCAAGGCTAAACAAAGCATGGGCTCCTACGCCTGACGCAGCAGGGGAGGCTAAGATAGGCACACCTACACTAGGCGACAAGGAGTAATAAGAGGGGAGCATACTAGAGTCATCAGCATATTTCACATGCAGGGCAGAAACAATGGCATCCATGTCCCTGTCAAAAATCTGAACTCTACGACTAAGCAAACTGTGCCATTCCGGGAGGTCGGGCGACGAGCCGAAGTGCTGACGAAACAGGTCGTCCAGGCGACGAAAACAGCGGGCAGTGGCGTGACCGATCTTACCGCAAACGAAGCCGCGGCGAGGACCGGTCTGGATCTGGTACTAACAACGCACGCCTCCCGAACCGCCACCCGGCACACCACCACGCGCACGACCACCACCAGCGCCAGGCCACCCGGGCGGGAGGGCACTCGCCTGCCTCGTCTGCGGCGGCTGCTGCGGCTACTGCGGCTGCTGCTGCTGCTGGGGCGGCTGCTCAGCAGGACGTGGCAGGGTCCCCTCATCCGCTCCACCACCAGACGACCCGACTCCACCACCACCTCCACCTGCACCCCCACCTCCTCCGCCGCGCCCAGCCTTGGGGCGGCGACCCTTCCCTGGACGGAACTGCGCTGCAGCGGCGGTCTCAGCCGCAGATGCAGAACCATCGGAGAAGGTGCACTGAAAGATAGGGACCGGCACAGTACCGCTCACCTGGGCGATAGAGCGGTGGTAGGTCTCAATAACAGTCAGGGTGTCCACAAAGTCTGTGAGGGTGAGATCACCGGGGTGAATGCTAAAGAAGCGGTCACGAGCAGCGGCAAGGCGGTCAGGGAGGCGGGTGGCAAGCAGGTAGAGGGTAGAGGTAAGGGGCGGCTGGTGGGATCTAAGCTGTGCGTCAGTGCAGGCAGCGCGCCAGGTCTCATTTATCGCGCGCAGGTGGGCAGCCAGGTCAGCGACAGTGGGGAAAGACGCAAAGTCAGGAAAGAGCATCGGTAGGATCAGGCGACCTACTGAGGCAGCAGGCGAGGCAGAATAGAGCCGAATAACAACATCTAAGAAAGCCTGGGCAGTGGTGATAGACCTAAAGCGGGGGCGCTCAGACGGGGGGAGGGCATTGCTAATGGCAAGCTGTGCAACAGCGTCATGGGAAAGGCAGACAGAGCGAGCGAGGGCAGCGGCCGCAGTAGACTCGCGCTCACTAGGTGTGGGGTCAGCGGGCAGCACAGCGGGGGGGTCTGGGCATGGAAGCATAGCGTCAAGATGTGCCGAGAGCGAGTGGCCATCCTGCCGCTGACTAGTGAGGTGGTGGCGGAGGTCGGTTAGCCACGCCTCAAACTCCAGAGGCTGCCCTTCAGCGTCGAAGCGAAGCTCCGCCGCCATCCGGAACAGTGCAGGGCAGGACTAGGTGAGGCAATGCAGCGCGGTACAATGCAGTGCGATACAGCGCGGTGCAGTGCGATGCAGTGTGGTACAGTGCGGTGCAGCTCGGCACAGTGCGGTAGGGTGCTGTAGCTGGCACGAAGAGCGGGCCGCACGCAGATCGGCGGCAGTCTGGCGAGAAGGTGAGCACGGGGCGGGAGGTCGACGGGCAGGGAGCGCGCAGGGGTCAGCAGAACGGGCGCGGGGGCCAGTAGCGGCGGGCGCCAGGTCGGCGAGGACAGGCGCGGGGGCCAAGTAGGACGGGCGCGGGGCCGGTGAGGACGGGCGCGGGAGCTGGTAGGACGGGCGCGGGGCCGGCTAGGACGGGCGCGGGAGCCGGTAGGACGGGCGCGGGGGCCGCTAGGACGGGCGCGGGGCCAGCTAGGACGGGCGCGGGGCCCGTTAGGACGGGCGCGGGGCCGGCTAGGACGGGCGCGGGGGCCGCTAGGACGGGCGCGAGGCCAGCTAGGACGGGCGCGGGGGCCGTTAGGACGGGCACAGGGGCCGGTAGGACGGGCGCGGGGGCCAGCTAGGACGGGCATGGGGCCGATAGGACAGGCACGGGGGCCTGCAGGACGGGCGCGCGGGCGCAGCTAGGACGGGCGCGCGGGCGCGGCTAGGTCCGGCAGCTAGGACGCGGCTAGGTCCTAGAGCGGAAGCGTGGGCGGGGGCGGGACCTACCTACTGCTGATACCATCTTAGAACTGAATGAATGAATAGAGTAGGGACAGAGTACAAGCGAATATACCCCTAAGTGTTGTACCCTCTAATAGGTGACCCTATACAGTCTATGCAAACATTAGAGATACACATGTTTGACAATGGTGTCCATCTACCAGTAGTTTCATTTCATCCTTGTAGCCAATCAAAACCTGTTCCAATATTGCCTACTCCCATACTCACTTTGGTTATGAAATTCAGTGTACTACTGAGCAGGTGAATCATCTCTGGCCAAGGTTCTGTGTTTGCATTTATGCATGCACACAAGCTGTTTTGAGTCGACTCAAAAGGTTAGTGCACTCTCACATCACATCTTGGTTATCAGACTCAGTGTACTGAGCACGTCAGTCATCTCTGGCCGAGGCTCCGTGTTAGCATTAATGCACGCGCGGGCAAGCGCGAAAAACTTCCGCCCGCCCTTGTCAGAATACCCGTCTTTTATTCTCGGGTCAACTATGGCAGGGGTGTAGACCTTGGACTCCTGCCACACCCACTGCGCCAGGCTGCCGCTGTCACTGTCGGTGGCATGCCGCCCTGTCAGTAGCTCTAGCAGCACCACCCCAAATGCGTACACATCTGACTTCACCGTCAGGCGACCTGAGGGGAGCAGAGCAGTAGAAGAAACAAGGTGTGCAGAGAGAGGGGAGGGGAGGGAGGGGAGGGAAGGAGCAGGGAGGAGAGAGGTAGTGAGGAAAATGGGGAAGAGAGGGGAAAGTGAGGGTGAAGTTAGGGCAGGGGTGTAGATCTTGGACTCCTCCCACACCCCAAATGCATACACATATGATTTCACTGTCAGGCGGCCTGATGGTGGAAGGGAGGAGGAAGACGGGGGTTAAGCAGCCAGTTGGTGCGGCAAGGGGGGAGGGAGACAGCACGGCCAACTTTTTTTTTTTTTTTTTTTTGGGCTTTTAGTGATCCCAGGAGGAAATCCGGCCCCCTTTCCCAGCACGGCCAGCAGCACCACCCCAAACGCATGGACATCTGATTTCACTGTCAGGCGCCCTGAAATGGGAAGGTAGGAGGAGGGACGAGAAGTGCTAGCAGGGGAAGGGGCGGAGAGGCAGCAGCGCCAGTAGCACCACCCCAAACGCTTACACATCTGACTTCACTGCCAGCTGCCCTGAGAGGAGGAAGAAGGGCATACACACACACACACACGAACACACATCCACACAAACACACATCCGGCACTCACCTCTTATCCACGTCAATGTATCCCTTTGTGCCCTTAAAGCCCAACATGCACACCACGCACACCACACTGAATATGCACACACACCCCCTGCACTCACCTCTTCTCCATATCACACCCACCCACCCCTCTCCACATATGCAGGGTCAATGAATCCGAGTGTGCCCTTCACCTTTGTCCCCCACCGGGCCCACGAGGCACACACACACTCACACACCCTCCCTCCAGGCGAACACTCACAAAAGGGGAGCACGGACCCTCCCTTCTCGTGCGAACGCGAGCACACCACTCTCCATACAAGACGGGTCAATGAATCCCCGAGTGTTCTTCACCTTCGTCCCCCACCGGGCCCACGAGGCACACACACACTCACACACCCTCCCTCCAGGCGAACACTCACAAAAGGAGGGAGGGTCTGGTCTGTGCTCTCCTTGTGCAAACACCCCCCCGCCCACGAGCACACCACTCTCCATGTGAGACAGGTCAATGAATTCCCGTGTGCCCTTCACCTCTTGTTTCCAAACAGCTCTGACCCCCACCGTCCCCAAAGAAACAGGCATATTGACCCACAGATACACACAGACACAGCGTGCACTCTCCACTCTCCCCCTTCACATGGTTTCCATACCACACGGAATACGCACATACACACCTGCTCCATATAAGTACTCACCCGCTCCATATAAGCACTCACCCGCTCCATATAAGCACTCACCCACTCCCAACACGCACTCACCCGCTCCCAACACGCACTCACCCGCTCCCTACATGCACTCACCCACTCCGTATGAGCACTCACTCGCTCCATATACGCACTCACCCGCTCCATAAAAGCACTCACCTCACCCGCTCCATATAAGCACTCTCCCGCTCCATATATGCAGAGTCGATGTACACCGGTACGCCCTTCACTTCAGTCACCACATAGCTTTGGTCCCCCACCGGCCCCACAGAAGCACACATACCGCCGACCACACACATACACAGGAGGAGGGTGCACTTATCCCTCGCCTTACATGCACGCACCCCTCTCCATGTAAGCGGGGTCGATGTATCCCGGTGTGCCCTTAACCTTAGTCTCCACGTAGCTCTGGTCCCCCACCGGCCCCACCTTCGCCAGCCCAAAGTCGCTCACTTTGGCTCTCAACTCCTGAAGGAGGGGCGGAGCGAGGAAAGGGAAGGGAGAGGATGACGGAGGGATACAGAAGAAAGTGGCGATGGGAGGGGTTGAGAGTTCTACTCTCCACGTAGCTCTGGTCCCCCACCACCCCCACCTTCGCCAGCACAAAGTCGCTCACTTTGACTTGCAACTCCTGAAGGAGGGGCGGAGAGAGGAAAGGGAAGGGAGACGTGGGAAGAGCGATGGGGAAAGAGGAGAATCGGTGATGGGAGAGGGTGAGAGCTTTTGTCTCCACGTAGGTTTGATCCCCCACCGCCCCCACCTTCGCCAACCCAAAGTCGCTCACTGCGGCATTCAACTCCTAAATGACGGGCGGAGAGGCGAGGAAAGGGAGCCGTGGGAAGAGCGACGGGGAAAGGAGAGAATCGCCTCACAAGCTTTGGTCACCCACCGCCCCCGCCGTTGGCAGACCAAAGTCATTCACTTTGGCTCTCAACTCCTGATTGGGGGGCGGAGAGACGAGGGAAGGGAGCCGTGGGAAGAGCGACAGGGAAAGAGGAGAATCGGCACTGGGAGGGGTTGAGAGTTTTTGTCTCCACATAGCTTTGGTCACCCACCCACCGGCCCCACTATTGCCAGGCCAAAATCGCTCACTTTGGTCCTCAACTCCTGAATGAGGGGCGGAGAGAGGAGAGGAGAGAGGAGGGGAGAGAGGAGGGGAGAGAGGAGGGGAGAGAGGAGGGGAGAGAGGGGGGGAGAGAGGAGGCGGGAGAGGAGAGAGAAGAAGGTAGGGAGAGAGGAAGTGAATGGGAGGTGAATGATGTTTCCCTCTCCTCAAAGGGTCCCATGCATATGCACTTGTGATATATAAAACACAGACGTACACTACTCACATCAAGCAGTATGTTTGCGGATTTGAAGTTGCGATGCATGATCTTCCTCTAAAGCATATGGTGCAGCCAGATTGATCTTACTTGCACACATTTACTGTATATTTATAAATGTATCGAGACATACAAAACACACTCAAGCAGTGCATTAGCTGACATGAAGCCGCGGTGAATGACGTTCCTCTCGTGTAGATGGTGCAGCCCCGTTGCTGCCCCACCCCCAGCCATGTATGCATGTATGTATGCATGTATGTATGTATGTATGTATGTATGTATGTACGTATGTATGTATGTATGTATGTATGTATGTATGTATGTATGTATGTATGTATGTATGTATGTATGTATGTATGTATGTATGTATGTATGTATGTATGTATGTATGTATGTATGTATGTATGTATGTATGTATGTATGTATGTATGTATGTATGTACGTACGTACGTACGTACGTATGAATGTACGTGTGTATGTATGTATGTACGTACGTACGTATGCATGTACGTGTGTACGTGTGTATGTATGTATGTATGTATGTATGTATGTATGTATGTATGTATGTATGTATGTATGTACGTACGTACGTATATGTATGTATGGATATTTACACACAACTCACTCACATCATCAAGCAATATGTTAGCAGATTTGAAGTCGCGGTGAATGATGTTTCTCTCATGCAGATGGTGCAGCCCTGTGGCTGCCCCCACAGCTATCTGCAGTCTCTGCTGCCAGGAGAGGGGGATGACGTCATCAGCAGCTGCAGAAGGGGGGCGTTGGAATGAAGGTGTGGAAATTAGAGAGAGATGGAGGACGGGGGGAGGACGGGGGGAGGACGGGGGGAGGACGGGGGGAGGACGGGGGGAGGACGGGGGGGGACGGAGGGAGTGTGAAGCCCAGAGTTGCTGCTCCCACGGCTATCTGCAGTCTCTGCTGCCACGAGGCGCGGATCACGTTGTCAGCAGCTGCCATCAGAGGGAGAAGGGCCGGTAAAGAGAGTGGAGTGAGTGAGGGAGGGGAAGAGAGAGAAGCCCCATTGCTGCTCCCACGGCTATCTGTAGTCTCTGCTGCCACGAGAGGGGGATGACGGTGTCAGCAGCTGTATAACGAGGGAGAAGGGCCGGGGGGGATCACGTTGTCAGCAGCTGTGAAGAGGGAGGAGAAAGGGCGAGGAGCGGGGAGAAGCGGGGTAAGAGGGGTCCACGGGGACTTTGGGCCTCACAGCTATGTGCAGTCTCAGCTGCCACGAGCGGGGGATGACGTTGTCAGCAGCTGCAAAAGGGGCGCATTGGAAGGAAGGGACAGACGGTGTGGAAAGTTGAGAGGGAGTGTGTGTGCAGTGCAGCCCTGTTGCTGCTCCTCCCACGGCTATCTCCAGTCTCTGCTGCCATGAGAAGGGGATGACGTTGTCAGCAGCTATAACTAGGGTAGTGTTGACGGGGTGTGTGAGGGAGTGTGTGAGAGTGTGTGAGAGGGTGTATGTGAGAGAGTGTGCAGCCCTGTTGCTGCTCCCACAGCTATCTGCAATCTCTTCCACCAGAGGACGGGGCTGATGTTGTCAGCAGCTGTAGATTGCAGCAGGGAGAGGGGGAGGGGAGGACAGCTGTAGATAACGCTGTCAGGACAACTGCCCCCAAGGCTATCTGCTGCATGCTGATTGCATGGTCACTGGTAGTAGTCACTCGCTTGAAAAGAGGTAGCAACTGAGGGCGCCTACAGGCACATATTTGTGCGTCTCAAAACTAGATTTCAATCCCACTTGAAAGGAGAGATACAAACCGAGGGCACCTATAGACACAATGCGCATGCTCTGCGCACGAGGTGACCTTTGAGTCGACTCAAAAGTCACCCAATCCCACTTGAAAGGAGAGGTAGAAATTGAGGGTGCCTGTATACACATGCGCTGCGCTGCGCATGGCAAAATGGTGGTAGAGAGACCCATGCCGCCATGTGCACAGTACCCAGCAAACTGACCAGGTTGCGGGAGATGGTAACCGGATGGTAACCGGATGGTAACCAGATGGTTACCAGATGGATGGTAACAAGATGGTAACCAGGTGGAAACCAGCCACTAACTTGAGAACAGATGCTAGTTGAGGGCGCCTTCGACACGTATTCGTAGATGAGAACGCCCATCTACCTGTGTATCCAAACTGGTTGGGGTGAGAGGATGTTTATCAGATGGTAACCAGGCAGGCGGTAACCAACCAACCAGCCACTCACTTGAAAAGAGGTGGTAGTTGAGGGCGCCTTTTGACACGTATTCGTAGATAAGAAAGGCCATCTCGCCGTGAGCGCAGTAGCCCCGCAGACTGACCAGGTTTGGGTGCGAGAGGCGCTCCAGCATCAGCACCTCTGTCTGGAAAAAAAAAGGGGAGGTGGGAGAAAGGGGGGGGAAGGAAGGGGAAGGGGGAGAAAGGAGGGGGAAGGGGGAGGTGGGAGAAAGGGGGGGGGAAGGAAGGGGAAGGGGGGAGAAAGGAGGGGGAAGGGGGAGGTGGGAGAAAGGGGGGGGAAGGGGGAGGTGGGAGAAAAGGGGGGGAAGGGGGAGGTGGGAGAAAGGGGGGGAAGGGGGAGGTGGGAGAAAGGGGGGGAAGGGGGAGGTGAGAGAAAAGGGGGGGAAGGGGGAGGTGGGAGACAAGGGGGGGAGGGGAGGTGGGAGAAAGGGGGGGAAGGGGGAGGTGGGAGAAAGGGGGGGAAGGGGGAGGTGGGAGAAAAAGGGGGGAAGGAGAGGTGGGAGAAAAGGGGGGGAGGGGGAGGTGGGAGAAAGGGGGGGAAGGGGAGGTGGGAGAAAGGGGGGGAAGGGGGAGGTGGGAGAAAGGGGGGGGAAGGGGGAGGTGGGAGAAGGGGGGGGAAGGGGGAGGTGGGAGAAAGGGGGGGGAGGGGGAGGTGGGAGAAAGGGGGGGGAAGGGGGAGGTGGGAGAAAGGGGGGGAAGGAAGGGGGAGGTGGGAGAAAGGGGGGGGAAGGAAGGGGGAGGTGGGAGAAAGGGGGGGAAAGGGGAGGTGGGAGAAGGGGGGGGAAGGGGGAGGTGGGAGAAAGGGGGGGAAGGGGGAGGTGGGAGAAAGGGGGGGAAGGGGGAGGTGGGAGAAAGGGGGGGAAGGGGGAGGTGGGAGAAAGAGGGGGGAAGGGGGAGGTGGGAGAAAGGGGGGGAAGGGGGAGGTGGGAGAAAGGGGGGGGAAGGGGAGGTGGGAGAAGGGGGGGAAGGGGAGGTGGGAGAAAGGGGGGGGAAGGGGGAGGTGGGAGAAAGGGGGGGAAGGGGAGGTGGGAGAAAGGGGGGGAAGGGGGAGGTGGGAGAAAGAGGGGGGAAGGGGGAGGTGGGAGAAAAGGGGGGGAGGGGGAGGTGGGAGAAAGGGGGGGGAAGGGGGAGGTGGGAGAAAGGGGGGGGGAAGGGGGAGGTGGGAGAAGGGGGGGGAAGGGGGAGGTGGGAGAAAGGGGGGGGAAGGGGGAGGTGGGAGAAAGGGGGGGAAGGGGGAGGTGGGAGAAAGGGGGGGAAGGGGGAGGTGGGAGAAAGAGGGGGGAAGGGGGAGGTGGGAGAAAGAGGGGGGAAGGGGAAGGTGGGAGAAAGAGGGGGGAAGGGGGAGGTGGGAGAAAGGGGGGGAGGGGGAGGTGGGAGAAAGAGGGGGGAAGGGGGAGGTGGGAGAAAGAGGGGGGAAGGGGAAGGTGGGAGAAAGAGGGGGGAAGGGGGAGGTGGGAGAAAGGGGGGGGAGGGGGAGGTGGGAGAAAGGGGGGGGAGGGGGAGGTGGGAGAAAGGGGGGGAGGGGGAGGTCGGAGAAAGGGGCATCGAAGGAAACATGGTTAGATGCGACAACAACAAGGGAGCCACGCAGCAGGTGCCAGAGGCTGCAGTCGCCCCGCGAAGTGACCAGGTTTGGGTGCAAGAGGCGCTCCAGCATCAGCACCTCTGTCTGGAAAACAAAGAGGAGAGGTGGGAGAAAGGGGGGGGGAGGGGGAGTGGGTGGAGAGGGGGAGAGGGGAGGGGGAAGGAGGAGGAGGGGGGGGGGGGAGGGGGAAGAGAGCAGTTTAGGCGGGAAAGAGTCAAGTTAGCGGTGAGTCAGGCGCTCCAATATCAACACCTCTGTCTGAAGAGGGTGGGGGGAGGGGGGGGAGTAGGGGTGGGGGAAAGGGAAGAAGGGAAAGGAAGGATGGCACATAGGGAAGGGCACCGAGGGCAAGGGCAGGAAGAAGGTCCGCACAGGTATCAAAGAGAGCAACGGCCCTGCTGCAGACGGACCAAACTGGGGTGCGCCAGGCGTTCAAGCATCAACACCTCTGTTTGGAAAGAGGTGTGCGGGGAAGGAGATGGCACTTAGGGGGGAACAAGAGGCAGGAGGAGAAATTCGGGCAGGAGGAGAAATTCGGGCATGGATCAGCAAGAGCAACAACCCTTCAGGGCAGCGGCCCTGCAGACGGACCAGTCTCGGTTGAGAAGGCACTCAAGCATGAGCACTCCTGTCTGAAAGGTACACTGCCCATGGGTTTACGGTGGGGGAATAGGGGCGAAGAAGGGCACGTGAGTGTTGCAGCGAAACACTGCCCATGGGTTTACGGTCTCCAGTATCCCTTTCAACCGCCATACCCTTCACTTCACCCCTACTCACCACCACCCATTCTCGGTACCCCCGCTCTTCTTCCCCCAGCTATTCAGCACTTTGATCGCCCGAGCGAACTCTCTCCTTTTTAGCACATATTATCCTGCCACCCCCTCTCCCCCATCCCCCCAAACACTCACCACCCATTCTCGATACACGCTCTTCTTCCCCGAGCTAATCAGCACTTCAACCGCCACAGATTGCCCAACCGCCGCCGCTGCTGCTGTCGCTCCACCCTCTCCCTTCGCATCCCCCCTATCCCCCTTCCCCCCCAAACACTCACCACCCATTCTCGGTACCCGCTCTTCTTCCCCGAGCTATTCAGCACTTTAATCGCCACAGACTGCCCCACAGCTGCTGATGCTGTTGCTCCACCCTCTCCCTTCGCTTTCCCGCCGTTTCCATTCGCCTCGCCCCCATTGGCTCCGGGAATCACGGCCTTGTACACCTTCCCGAACCCCCCCTCTCCCAGCACTGTTGATTGGTCGAAATTATTAGTGGCATCCACTAGCGCCTCGTACTTAAACTCCTGTGGTAGCGGCACGGACAGCGTGATTTCTGGGGAGAAGCGGGAAAGGGGGAAAGGGGGGAAGGGGGAAAGAGGAAAAGGGGGAAAGAGGGAAAGGGGGGAAGGGGGGAAGGAGGAAAGAGGGAAAGGGGGGAAGGGGAAAGGGGGAAAGGGGGAAAGGGGGGAAGGGGAAAGGGGGAAATGGGGAAAGGGGGAAAGGGGGAAAGGGGGAAAGGGGGAAAGGGGGAAAGGGGGAAAAGGGGAAAGGGGGAAAGGGGGAAAAGGGGAAAAGGGGAAAGGGGGAAAGTTGGAAAGGGGGATAGGGGGAAAGGGGGAAAGGGGGAAAAGGGGGAAAGGGAGAAAAGGGGAAAGGGGGAAAGGGGGAAAGGAATGAACGGGTGTGAAAAGAGGAAAGGGGGGAAACGGTGTTAGAGGCCTCTTCTAGCGCCTCGTACTTCAACTCCTGTGGTAGCGGAAAAAATGATAGACACGGGATAATAGGAGAGGAACCACGGCAGATAGGAGAAAATTATGGGCAGAGAGACATAGAGAGGAGCATTACGTAACGTAATGTGAGGGCTGCCTGGCAATCGGTCCACTAATAGGAAAACGTGTGCTAACGCTATCAAAAAGAAGACTCACGGGGTGGTTTTTGCTCTTCTTGTGACCCCCCGGTACACATGGAAGCACACAGGCCCATGTGCTGCTACGCTTAGCTAAGTGGGATGAATATTAGGTTAGTGGGATTACAAGGCGCCTCCCATGAGAACGCCGCACGCACGGACAAAGGCGTGACCTAACCCTAACTCTAACTCCAACCTTCGTTCCTACACCCTACGCTACCAAGCACCTACGCCTACGCGACGTGATTGCTCTCATTGGTGCAGCTGGGACAGAGAAACTGATTTCGTCTTCTTAAAGCCACACGAAGGTTACACAGCATACGCGATAGAGACAGTGTAGACGCCTGTGATTCGGCACTTATTAGGGAACCAAGGGGAAACCGTACGCCATTCTTTTTTCGAATGGCTCTAATCAACTCTAACGCACATCTGAAATAGTACTTCAGGCTTTAAGCGGCCGAAACGGCGAGTATAATGCGCGGAGTTTAACACTAAACAGCTGGTCAATATAGGAGGCTAGGCGCGATAAACGCAGAAGAAAGGCGTGCCCAAGGATAAACTACGGAACCAATTCCCAAAGCCTTTAGGTGGGTTACGTAAGATTGAGAGAAGTTATCGGAGCCACGAAAGACGGCGAGTTACGTCAGTACTGTTACTGTGAGACGCTGTCTCCTAGAGCCCAAACCGCGAACCGATACTAATTTGGTTTCTTGAACCAGCTGAGACATTTTAGAGGATGTTCGTGTTGCTGTTTTGTCGTTTCTTGAAGGGCGGTCTTTTCTAACTGGGAATAACAAGGACTGGTGGAAATGAGAACATTCCGGGATCGTGTCATCCCAACTCCTGGTCTTACGGAATGGGGTAAATGATGACCGGAAGCCGGGATAACACGGCCCCGGATGCGCCCTGACCCCCCTTGTTTTTCGGCAGTCCTTGTTTTTCAACAAAAAACAAGCCTCAGGTTCAAGAACCAAAATGGGCTCCAACAGTTGGGCTGCTTTAAAAAACGGTTAATAGCGGTAACCTGTGGTTCTCGTTGTCAGTACCCACCCGCCGCGTCCTTGGGTGTTATGCATGCTCATCTTGTTTGGTGTTTCACGGCAAACGCTCGATTGAGGGATGCCCCGTTTACATCGTACGGGCTTTATAAATTGGCCCACTATTGAAAAACATTTACCTAATGGGTCTCTAGAACCCGTTTAGCACATTCTGTGAATCGGATGAAGCACAACCAGGGCCTCAGATTGGTTTTAGGAAGGCTGATTTCTCAGGTTCTCCCATGTGAGATCCCTGTTTTTCAGGGTCAAGTTTGGGGCGTGGCATGTTTTTTAAGGCCAAAATACAAATTAAGTCGGACTAATCAGTCTTACATTTTTGTAGTATCTGATCATTGTTTTGGATCGGACTTCACTGCGTACAATTTTCCTGCATGATTTTGGCGAAGGACTCAGAGAATATTCCTACGTCTTCGCGTCAGACTAACCTTGTGTCAGACCAGGGCTGACGTTTAAAAAAAAAAAAAAAAAACCCTAAGCTGTCGAATGGGGGAGAAAAAAATACCCTGGGGCCTTGTGTTCCAATTTTGGCTACCCTGGTTTCTCGGTGTTCTGGAAAAGGCAACCCTAAAACCTCCAGGGTTGGCTAGCCACAAACAGGGTTGCACTTGAAAAAAATCAACTAAGAGAGCATTAGGACATCTAGTAGTTTGGCAAAAACACCACCACGCTAGTCTACGTATTCAATTCAGTCCTCTATATAGACTTCACAAGATTCCACGCCACTAGCTACCCTTGACTAAAATTATGGGGCATCCATGTTCACTTCGTCCTTTGCCTCGTCGTCAGACAGAAACGGGTTGTCTGCTATTACAGGAGCCTCTCCCCCCTCTCATCCTCTGCCCAATCCCCCATGCAGTCGGGAACTGCCTCCTCCTCCACCCTCCGTTCTGCCCCCTCCATCGCCTTGGCCTTACGCTTCCTCTCCTCTGAGGCAAACAGGGCTGACTTAGCAGGGCACCTCAGCTTTTCGCACCAACACTCAAGGGCCTTATCCCAGTCAATCTCATACTGCAGCAGGGAAATGACCATCAGCTCGCTGAGGCACGCATTGCACAACGCGCCCCGCACCCATGACTTGATGACGTTCTGCCGCGAGAAGCCTCGTTCACACTCCACTGTGCTCAGCGGCAGGACAGCGCACGCATGCCACAAGCGCATCAGGTTGGGCTAGCGCCTACCAAAAAGGTTGGGGGAACAGAGTGCAGAGAACAAGACCAGTGCATTGGTGCAACTAATCAACAAGCGATAAATAGCATGGGGTTGTGCGCCTGTTACTTGACAGAGTTCCAAGGGGAAGATTAGAACCGGCCCGAAGACATGCAACAAAGGTCCTTTGAACAACAGTCAGTCACAAGTTCGACTCCGTCGAGCCCAGGTAGTTCGTCAGGCCTTGATGGAATCCCTCGTCGACATGGTAGTTGAGCATCAATGGCGCCCACGTAACCAGCTCCTTTTGCGCAGCTTGCAAGTCGAAGCCTGGCAGCCTGTTGTCGAAGAAGGTACTGCAGTCATGTAGGTACTCCTTCAACTTCTTCTCTCTCTGCTGCTTCATCCGCGGCCACTTCGCCACGCGGAAGAGCTTCGTCGGGGAGAGATTTTTTAGGTGCAGCATCCTCATCTTCTGGAAGGTCAGAGGGTGGTGCTTTTGCCAGAGGGTGATTCCAAACCTGCATGCATGGCACAAAAAGTACAACATACAGAGTGGTAGAAGCTCACCTCCTTCTTATGGAATTTGAGGTTGAGCTCATTCACCACTCTAAGCACGTCTGCCTGAAAAAAAAGACATAACTAGAACTTGTAACAGATGACGACTTGATACAGCTCATGCCCGTACTCATGAAACCGAATAGTGGCGCCAAGGACCTTACAGAGGCACCGCACAGCCTCACCCCTTGAAAGCGAGCGCATTGTGTGAATTCCTCGCACTTCAAGGTTGGTGTTGTGTATTTCCCGTTGCAAGTACTTGAAGCCTTGACTCCAGACGCATGAACGTCCCAAAAGATCGGCCAGAGTCCGAATCACAAGGTCGACCATGTCAAAGTCTGGAGAAGCAGTGGCGGCATCCTTTACCGCCAAGGCTTCCTTGCATAGTGCACACACATGATTTTTAGTCAAGGAGTTGTAGGAAACCTAAACAACAAAATTGACAAGCGATTAAACTTGTGCGCAATGCGGTGCGAAGAGGCGAGATGGGGGATGTCCTCGCGAAGTCGAGCGACGATACCATTGCCGCGGCCAACCATGACATAGGCGCCGTCGGTGCTCATGTCGGTGATTCAGGAGAGGTCGATGCCAATCGCTCGCAAGTGAGCCAGAAGAACGGCGAGGAGAGACGCAGCGTCACACTTCTCGACGGTCACGATGTAGGTCACGATGCGCACGCATGAAGGTTAGGTGAATAATGAGATGTTTACCGCGACTACCGTCAGTGCTCTCGTCGTAGCTGATGCCGAGGTAGGGTGAGGCGAGAATGTGTTGCATTTGTCGACGCTGCATGTAGCATGCCAAGCTATTGAGGAGCTGATAGAAGCCATACCTGTAGTAGCAGAAGTAGCAACAGGGAGGTTGTTAGACGTATACAATGAATCAAGGATAAGGTGTTTTTGGAAACAGTGCATTACCGTGTCAGGTAGACTCTGTAAGACTGCAGCGGAATGTCTGGGGTCTCCTGCTTGGCCATAAAGCGGAGTAGCCTCGGGTACATGCTGATGGGTGCGCCACACTTGCACAGGAAGTCGACGCAGTGTAGGAGCCTTATGATGCGCCTCCCCTCAATGTCAGTCCGCGCATAATTCTCTATGCGCCTCTAGTTGCTAGCGATGTCTTCGGCGATCTCCATCTGACGCTAGACCCCGGCTTCGTGGGTCGTCGTGTGTTTGTGAAACCGCATCGCTTTCGTCTGCAGGTCACGTGGCCCGTCGCGGCTGTTGGAGTTTAGGGTTTAGGGTTTCGGTATGGGGTTCTCTTTGCCGAAAGCCTTGTACACACTGTACTTCAACGCAGGGTAACAGTCTTTTGTTTTTGTTAGGAGAATCCAAGGGGAAAATGGAAGCCAGCTAGTCTTATACTTGTGCTCAGCCATGAGATACTTTTGCTCGATGAGTTCTTTCTTCGAGAGCTTTGGCGGCTTGGGTTCTGGAATAGCAGGGGCCTCAGGTTCAGGCGACGCGCGAGGCGGCGATGGTCGACGTACACTGCGGAAAGTATTGCCCGGATAATATCCACTTTTAGGTTCACATAATGATTTGAATGCTTTTAAGTGAGGTAACTCTGAATCTATGAAGTTGTTTTATAAGTTACGAGTGCAAGTTGTACAAAGGTAAAAATTTTGCCATTATAAGTGGTCGCACTAATAGTGAGGACAAAATAGTCGTCGCGTGAGTACATCCGGACAGTTTCAGCCAAGCGGCTGACTAGATATGTTTTCGACAGCTGCATAATCTCCATAGTTGCTCCCGCAAGTTTCGATTAGTCACGAAATAGGCTATACCCGAGGCTTCGACTAGGCCGAGATGAGACCGTAAGATGAGGCGCGTCGCAGACGGATCTTAACCCTATTGCGGAGGGGGTATAGCACAAGGCGAATCGCATAGGAGCTTGGCGTGGGGAAGTGTACGGTACATGATCTAGGACTCAAGGCTATTTTTGAGTCTAGCCTCGAGGATGTGCGACCTTCAATGCCCACGGCCGGTTGTCCACGCATAGTCACGGATAGAATTCGTCGTTGGATCGTTAGGGCGATTACTAGCGGCGAGGCGAAAACCTCGAAGCACGCGACCCAGATCGTCGAATCGCAGCACGACATTACGGTACATCCTAGGACGGTGCGTAACACTCTCAAATCTAGCGGCCTTGTCGCAATCCAACAACATAAGAACCCGCGCCTCTCTAAGAAAACATCCGCGATAGGCTCGATTTCGCACGAGCCCATGCTGATTGGACCGTCGAGGATTGGAAACGTGTGATCTGGTCAGATGAGACCAAGATCAATAGGTTCTGTGCTGATGGCCATGGCAGCCAGCGGAGCTCCTGTGCCTCCATGGCATCGGCGTAGATCTCAGCCTCACAGCTGGACTGGGCAACTGACGAGGAGCGAGTAGTTCTACATGAAACAACACCTGAACCAAGGCTAAAGCAATAGCCCTGAGAGGACCGGAGAGTCTCTGCGTCGTCTGCCCAAGAAGCGTCTCTGTGCCTAGTAAGGACCACAGGCATGCGACCTTCCAGCACTAACCCCATGCCCGATGTACTTGCAAGATAATGCAAAAACCTCTTAGCGGCAGACCAGTGCTGTGATCGCTGTCTGCCTGTGGCCACAAAGCAAGCCAGGATGCTGAGAGGGTATGCGAGATCTGGGCGAGTGCAAGTCATCAGGGACATGAGGCAACCTACCAACTCTGCGTACGGACCACTGGGCCCTGGTGACTCCTCAAGAACAGGAGCTGAGAGCTTGTGGTCCACCGGGAGAGGTGTGGGCTGTGCAGAGGAGAACTGAAGACCGAACCGCTGAAGGACTTGGCGCACCAAGTGTGACTGAGAGAGAGTGATGGTGCGCGCTGCTCTGTCCGTGGAGATCTGCATACCAAGGTAGTGGTGCAGTTCTCCTAGGTCAGTGCAGGTGTGTCTCTTCAGCAGCTCTGCCTTCACGAAGGCCAGCATGTCCCTGTCTACAGTAGCGAAAACCGGGTCGTCTACGTAAACAAGGATGTAGAACGACGTCTGA